CTCTGAGTGGCTGCTTTCCTTACCCAGCACGCCGCTCTCTCGCCGCCGGCTCGCCACACCTTGGCTCAGCCGAGGTGTGCTGAAAGCATCACAGGAGAGGGCCAGAAGGTATTTGGACCTTCCAAACCCACCCGAAACACCTTCTCAGAAGGTACTCGGAGCCCACTCGGGTAGTGGTTAACATGGACGGTTTGTCCTCTACAAAAAAGGGCGTGCTGTTCAGGTTCCAGGGCGTAGAATTAGGTGATTGATGTTGCGGAGATGTTCAGGGAGCCTGGAATCCTTGGTCCAAGCCACCAGGTACCCGAACCCGGCCAGCAAAGGTTCGGCCCAGAAGGTCGGAAAGAGAATCATCGCAGAACCAGAATACACTCACTCCCTGGGACTGACATGGAAGTGCTTAGAAGAACATGTTCCCCACGATACAAACTAGCAATTTTGTGCATTCATGTTAGTTCCAGGAAGTGTGTCTTGACTAGTGCTTTGTAATGGAATGGGGGAATGAGCCTCTAATAGAAAAGTCCATTGGATCCGGCCACCCTCATCACCCTCATCCCTAAGCACAGTCAGTCTCCTGATCGTTTTTGATGTTTTGTGGGGATACCTTTCAGACAAATGAATCAAATGGTCACCTGGAAGGACACAGTCCTGTAATTTGTGGCTAGGTCCCTCCTTGCTGAATGTTGAGAATCCGATTCGTCCAAGTGGCCAAGCCTGCAAGTCCCTTGGGCTTGGCAAAATTCCATCATCAACCTTTAGCTGCAGAAGAGTTGGTTTACTTGGATTGATTCCCTTTTTCTCTCCATGCAAAATCTGTTCAGACGTACATGGGCAACAGTTCGAACAGCACACACCTCAAAGCGGTGCCACCGTCCAAAAGATGTTTTGGTTCTTGCATGTTCTTGCGAACACTTCCCAGCCAAGGCACTGCGCTTTGCCAGTGAAAGGGATGCGAAAACATGTTCTTTCTTGATCTGTTTCAATGGAACCACCTTGGGTTGCCCGGAAAAAAAGGTTCCCCGTAGCGGCGCTAGCTGTGCCAGAGACAGGTTTCAAGCTTGGCCAGAGAGACAGAGGCTTTAAGCTAGACAGCTAGACATATGTTGGTGGATTTCGTCAATGTCAGTGTTGCGATCCCCTTTTTCTACTCCACAGTTCACAAATCACCGGAGCATTTGAGGTCTGCATCTTCAAGTTTTCTCCCTTCCTATCTATCTGGTTATCTGGTTTGCTTATATCAGGCGATTTGTTTTCTTTTCCCGAACTGGTTAATTCCCCTGGCATGGGGAATATATACATTTTTTTCGGCTTCCGACACCAGCAAATCCAAGTTTATCTTCGCTGAACTGGCTGGATTTCTCCTATAGCCTTCAGGATCCCCTCCACGCTGCAGCCTCCGCGGCCTCCAGCTACTCGGGTTGCAAATAGCAAATACTCTTTCTGACACATTTCTGGGACTCAAGAACAACGTGGGTTCGATTCAATGTGGATTATCGAGTGGAAAAAATCATATAGACTATCAATGTACATGCATTGACCATAGGCTCAAGATTGTTTTAAGTTGTAAATGGAAGCGCATGGACTTAGACTTCATCCACCACCACCAGTTCCATGTCAGTGCGCCTTTAGCCCCATCCAGTGAGTAGATGTTCTGGGCAACTCTAGACTCTTTGGAACTGCTGGAGCTACAGCTGGAGCTACAATGAGTTCCAAATATGTTCTGGAGCTACAGTGGTCGGTCAAGTGAGGTTTGTTGTGATATGATTTCCAAACTTGGATTTCGTTTGAGACACTTTATTTTTTTAGTCAGCAGTGTGGTCGGTGTGTGAATGGAAACCTCCCAACGAATGCAGTCACTCTTTAGAGATAACCCTATTCCAAGGCAGAAAACCGTCAATTCTATTCTATGTTCATCAACAGATGATGCTGACGTTGCCAACGGATTTGCTTGGCATTCTTAGCATTTTGTGTAAGCGCAGAAGACAAAGACTGGTGAGATTGTGGTTGACCCTCAAAGATATGATTGAAAACACTCAGACTGAGCACGCAGCAAAATATATGCAACTGCCCCACAGAAACAAAGACAGGGCTACAACAACTCACCACAACTACCAGCTTATGCCAAACCATCGACGAAACAGATATCCACCAAAACACCCAGGACAGGTTATTTGTTGTTCAGTCCAGATCTTGCGTTTGGAGCCCTACCCAGGAAAAGTGGATCATTTGCTTTCACCTTTTGGGAAGATGCTCCAAAAAAGTGTCGGCTTGGGAGAATGAGCAACGATAGCTACAGACTGTTCACTACAAGTTGTTCGGCACAGGTTGGCCACAGGGCTCTGGAGAATGTTGTACCCTAGAATCCGGGCCCTCAAACAAATATACCCAGACACGACTAATGGGACTGCCTTCAAAACGGCCAGGGGTGGTGGGTGCCAGGGGGGTCTGGCTGGATCGGCAGTCCGGCGCAGTCAGGTCGTGTCTGGGATAGGGTTTGGTTCGGGCCCGGACCCCTGCGGAGGGCCCACCAGAGCGCCAGAGCGGCTCCACCGCCCAGGCCTTGGTGTGACCGCGCCAACGGCAGGCACTGGATGGGCCAGGGATGCCCAGCGAGGAGCGGAGAATCAACTGTTTGTAGCGAGCAAAAGGGTCTTTCCAGGGAAAGGAACCAAATCCATGATGTTGCATGTTTTATTTTTTGTGTTTGTAAGATTTTGTAAGCGTTAACTGTTGCTGATATATTCTGCTCAGAGTCGATCTTTGAATTCCTGGTTCTTGGGTGGTTTGGGTGTACTTGTGAATTTGTGAAGGTATAGACTTGCAAAGAACCCAAACATCTTTTTGTAGTGGAAGTACTTCCAGCAAGGCCGGAACGTCGACCTTGTGTCCGAACGTAGCAGCTTGCGGCAGAACCGCGCGGAAGACGTAGCACCCGTCTACGCGACCCCACAGCTCTTAGCCTTGGTCCAAAACCTTTTGGGATTGCTTCGACCCATTCGACCCCTGACCACTTCGGATTCAGGGGCGGACTCGGGTCGCGTGACCTGGGCGCGCCCAGGCCTCGGTCAAAGAGAAGTTTGCGGTGCACATCCGTTCAGAGGTTGGATCGACCGGGGGGCGGCGGACGCGCCCAACGGGAGCCTTGAGAGACGTGGCGCAGCCAAGAGCAAGGTGCGTATCCGATGTTTTGGTGAAAGCTATTCAAAGAACCAGGTAACAACAATCATAATCATGGTGGACCTACTGGCAAACGATGAACAAATCGCTCAACTGTTTTGATGACTACCTGCCCCTGTTTTGAATTCAACCACCATGCCCAATCCAGTGGTTTCATTGGGGTGGAGCCAGATCGAGTGGTTCTCCGAGTGGGTGGGCTGGTGGGACGCTTTGTGATTTGGATGTTATACCAATTGGACATGGACATAGAAACCATGCATGTAAAACCCCCCCAAAAAAACACATCTTCGAAGTTTGTTTTTGAAATCACACACAGAAAAAACAAAACTAAAAAACCACGTCTGAGGATGTCTCAGGTGCAAAAAAGGACACCTCCATGTTCGTGAAACGAACGGCGCGGGTTTCCAACCAGCGGCTCGTTCTTGCAGACTTCCAACGTCCGACTCAGGAGGAGAAGAAAGCCTTGAAGTCTGACAGCTTTGCGCGGCTCCACCAGGTGATGGCTCCGATCGTGGCGCCGGAGCGGAGGGTGCCAGGAGGGTTCAAGAAGTACTTCCTGAGGTTCGGTACGACTAGATCCCTCTCTCCCCAGAAGGAGTGACCTCGACGTCGGTGGACAATCCAGGAGCATTTGGGCAGACAGCTGACAGACCGTACTACCCACCACAACGAATGGTCCTGGCCGGGAATGAACCCGGGTAACACCGTCGCGGGACGAACCAGGGCGGCCAGGCCTAAAGACCATGTTCATAAACCGGTCTGACAGAAGACTCGGAAACCAGTGCTTCCACAAATCCTCAAAGTGGACGTATAGTTGCAGGAGTTTGTTTGGTGAGTTGAACTTTCCATGGAATATAACCCTGTTATTATATTATTATTATATATGCCACCCCATTGACCCCTGAAAATCAACCACCCTCAATCAGATGACCTTAGTCATTTGCATTAGTTTGCAATTAAGCTTTTGTGGACACATTGTGGCCGTCCCCCAAATCGTCCTTTGTTTCCCCACTGCCCAACATCGATCGATCTTGATTCTGACGTGATCTGGTCACACCCGAGTGGGCTATTCTTTCACCCGTGGCGACTGGTGAGGCCACTTTGTTGAGCACCATCTCTTCCTTTGCCCAGCTGGGCATCGGTCACGCTGTCGAAGGCGGCCGGACGTCGGACTTCGAACGCGTTCGTGGGGGCGAACGCGATGACCGGCGACGCGTTCGAAGCGAAGGCGAAGGAGCCGGGGTGTTTGGGGAAGCAGAGAAATGGGCGGATGGCTTTCAGATGGAGAAGCAGAAATGGTGTGTCCGGAAACTGTGCTAAATATTGCATGGTCTGAATGAGACAAGCCCAAAAGATAGATTGAAAGTTCCAGGGCAGCTTTCCAAAGAGAGGAACCAGCCAAAGAGGACAGTTGGATGAAGGTGGGTGAACCTTTTTTGTTTCGTAGAGGACGCTGTTTGATGAAGGTGAAAGTGGATTATGGTCCTGGTCCTTGCATTTAATTTGCATTTGCCATCGACAGACATTGCAGTGATTTGGGCCCAAAAAGAGCCTATATGAAGAACAGATTTGGAAGCTCTTGAGGGTGGGTAAGAGATGCAAGCCTTTTGATGGTGTGCTAAAAGACACACTTTCTCACCACATGCAAGGTTGGGAAAGATGATGAGCTTGTTGTTCAGGAAACAGTTCGGTTATTTGCTTGGTCATGCTTGGTCCTAGGTTTATGCACCCCATTCAGAGCAAACCATGACATCATTGTAGGGACCCTTGCATCCAATTGAGCAACTGTTCCCAAAGGGAAGATAGCAATCAATGAGCCGTGGTTGGTCCATTGAGGCTCTTTTTTCCAATCTTTCTCACTCAGCCAAAGCAGCCGTGCCCCATGCCCCCGCCACGCATGGGTGCCATGCGTGCCCTTCACTCGGTGCTGTTGGTGGTGCCGCTGCTGGCTACCGAACACTGTGAGCCCAACGCGGATTGGCTGCTGCAGACGGCTGTGCAGCTGCAGACGGTGCGCCCTTCGCATATTGGCGCTCGACGTGGTCGTCTCGGAAGATCGATCGATCGGATCATCTGGCATGCCGGATCTATATATGGTCATATATGGTGAAAAGAGATGAGGAGATCATACCGGATTTTAAACAAACACACAAACATTGCTTTACAATATATTGTATTTGAAAGCACCCAAACGTCTTCCACCACGGAGCGCGGAGTTGGGGTGGTTGGACTAGAAAGAGAGACTGTAGACCCAATATACCGGGACCCGACTCTACAGGTCACCAATTGAGACCTGTTAGGGTCCAACAACCCTCAACTAACAGCCTTGGAGGGTGCTGGTAGGTTCATACGGGGGGTTCTATCAACCCCAACTCCGTAGTGCTGGACGCACTCGGATCCGATCGCTGTCAGGCCGCGAATGGCCTGTACCACCAAGTGTTGCGCAACGAGGACGATGCGATCTACACGGCCAGCGTCCGCTGTGGGCAGCAGGTGCCGCCTGTGGATCTGACAGCGGCCGGTGGTCTGGTGGCCGGGGGACACGACAATGGACAATAGCAGTTAAGACAGAAAAGACTGGACATGAGCATGACATGAATTGCACTACACAAACATCATCAAACATCAATCATGACTTGCGATCCAGATCCACTTTTAGCCTTCCTGGTTGGCGGTGGAAAGGGAAAAGTGTTGCGTAGACATGACCGGTCGACATGACTGGGTGAGACAGTCCGAAACATCTCACCGACCAGTTCGACTGACCTGTCGACAGTACTTTTTGGCCAGTCTGTGGGCAGGAGAGTTACTTACCAGCAGTCACAAGACGGGGTGGTGTTTGGTCCCATCCAGTGAGTGGATAATGGGCACTCCGAACCTCCATTAAGCACCCCTTTGTGACTACTGGTATATATATATTTATATTATAAGGGGAGATCTTGTGGCCCTGGCTGGGTATAGACGGTAGACGACCAGTTTATTTTGCGAACCAAACCCGGACGCCAGGGAGGTCTCACTATTTGAATCGCCCTCATAGGCCTTGGTCAATGCCCTCTTACGGCAGCCGGTGCGATGGTCAGACACCATAGAGCTGACCAATCAACCATTCCACGGTTTTGAGGTCCAACAAACTCCCAAAGTATCTATAACGCCTTGATCCATAAACCACCCTAACTTGGAACTCCTTGAATATTAGTTGCAAATCTTTTACAAAAACAAATCAAGGTTTCAATGCTTCTTGGAACTCCTGCCATGATGGTTTGTGTTTTTGATCTCTTTATGTTCCCTTTTCCCAGAAACCGACCATCCCTAGACCTGACCGCAAAAACTGGACCCTCCACACATCTCCAAACCTCACTCCAGGACGCCGTCAGGACGCCTAGGCCTGGCCCACCAGGACCGTTCCCCTTTGTTCTTCGCTCCAAACACCCGTCCTTCCGCGCACCCGGACCGTCTTCACCCGTTGGGTCGAACCATCCGTTCCTCGCGGTCGCGCCGCTCTCGGCGAGATCCAGGAGCTCCGCGCCATCCCGGACACGGGGAGCTCCGAACTGGTGGTCTTTGCCGAAGGCCGGTGGACCGGAGGAGCTGTGTGGTGGTCGACAGTCGTTTGGTGTTGGCATTTTGCTTTGGTCGGCCTACCCGGAAAAGGGGACAAGTACCTGCAAAACCTTGGTGCACTCAGGTGCACTGAGGCAGAATGTTGGGAATGGTTTGCTTGGAACCATGGACTTTGGAGAAGACATGTTGGAAGCAACCTTTTGCTTCAGAGGATGATGGTTTGATGATCTTGTGTCCAGAGTTTTTAGTTCTTCTTGGAGGTTTTGTTTTGGCCAGGTATTAAATAGCTGCAGCTCCTTTTCGGGCACCAAACACATCCTCAAAAGATCTCATAAGCTAGTTCTACAAAGCTCCCCTTGGCACCCACCTACTGCTGCCACCACCATCTTCAACGTCCCGAGAACAACATTGGAAGCGTTAATTCCTCACAATTACAATCCTACTCCATGCTTGGTCAATGAGCCCCCCATTCACCCCACTTATAAAGGGGGTTTTCACCTGAATGACGAAAGGAGCACACTTACCAAACGAAACCTGACTGGGGCACCGACATGGTGTTTCACCTCCCGAAATGGAACTCTTCGGTGTTTCATCCTTCGCACCGGACACCCATTCTCTTCACTCCCTTGGCGCTTTCCACCGGGTTAGTGGGACGACGTCCACCGGGTTCGTGGGACGAGATGGACACCACATGGACGAAAAGACACGGGTCCCCACATGCGTTAAGATCTGGCAAATGTAGTTTTTGTTGAAGGTTCCGGCCGAAATTCATCTGATCAAACCAGCAAAGTGACATTCACATGATTGTCTCCCTGTTTGGGGGGTCATCCTGGCACGGAGTCGTTGGGAATGAGTTGAGTCTGTACGATCCGAACCACAATCGACACGATGTTCGAACACGGCCTTTTGCTAACCATCATCCACGGTTACTGGTAATATGATAGACCCAAGGAATGAGCTCAAGAAGGTTTATCTACTGAGCGCTCTTGAAGTTCAAATCTCTTGGATGACCCAGGCTGTAAGGGCTGCGGGGCAGCAGTGGAGACTGGCTACAAGCCTAGCACCAGCGTAGAGGCGCCAGTGGAAGGGTTTGGATGAGGAGGTTCCTCTGGAACTTTTTGGCTGTGAGTCAAAACCTGGAGCCAACACCATGTAGTGAAATGAACGACTTTCCAGGTACGGTTATATACCCCAACTCCCTGGTACCCACCATTGATGAAGGACCATGGGAAGCGCCAGACTGGATGCGCAAGTGACGTCGGTAGGTCAACCAAGGTGTCGTGGTTTTGACCCACAGTGACCCGCAACACTCCACCATGGCATGGCAAAGGCCTGATGGCACAACTTTGGGTGTCCTCTAGAAAGGGCATCTCTTATTACATCTTATTGCTCTTATATGTTCGTTTGAATGATTGGATTTAACATGATTTAAACATATGTAAACCATGAGAAATCCTCCAAAAAAGAGTTCCGGATTTTGACTGAGCTTCACAACTCCGGGCAGGGGCCATCCATTGTTTGTAACAAAGGCAAGAATGTCACGGATCTTACCCAAACACGCGTGGGACTGGTATATAGACCTACATTGATCCCTGAAACCACCCCAACTGATCGGCAAATATGCAATAGATGGAGTGTTTGGGTGAGTGATCTTAGTGTTGAGATCTCGTACCATGCAGGTGGATGTCCCGTGTGAGGGCCCCCACTTACCATTTTCCACTTGATATCACTTGATCAAACTGCTCATTCGACAAGCAACAAGTTTCAGACACTCCTCATCACCATCCCAGACACGACGACACTCCATGGGACTGCCATGTCGGACTGCCGATCTGGCGCCAGACCCCCCTGGCACCCACCACCCCGAACGGCCGTTTTGAAGGTAGTCCGACATGGCAGTCCCAGACTGGTCGTGTCTGGGCATCATTTGCATAGCATCCCGACACTCCAATTCGCGATGTCTACCTACTCGTAGCCTGTGTGGTTTCACCGGGGGTGGTCATGCCGATGCCAGGGCCCCAATGCCCCAAGTCCTAACCTACCTAGCGCTTCCTGTCGGGGTGCCCTGTCTGGAGACCTTTAAGTCGTGTGGAGATATCCAGCCAGGTGACCCCGAACGGAAACAGCTGGTAGCAACCCTCTTCAATTTGGCTTGCCAGATGATGCGGTTGAGGAGCCTTTGGTTTGAGATTGTCCTCCTCTACTGTAGTGGCTGACATAGCTAAGCCTGACAAACCATGTCTCAGGCAAAGGCCCGTTTGCAAAGCAGAGGGCCAGCTATGTGTTTGGAGCCAGCTAGCTGTAGTTGGAACATCTCCATAGATATGTTGCAGGAGCACTGATTCCAGCTACTTAGATTCATGACAACAAAACAAGCCTCAGGGAACATCCTGAGTCTTCACACCAAACTAGTTGTTCCCCAAACAGTGTGGGCACACAGGGGTTCTTACGGTAGTGGAAAAGCAGCTTTCTGTTCTTTTTCATGTCCATGTTCCCTGAAAAACCACTTCAGCCAGGGACTCCCCCACTCCCCGCACTCCCCGCCTCCCGCGTCACCTTGGACCGCCGCAGGTGGGGCATTTGGTACAGCTCATCACCTATGGCAGTGGCTCCGTGCTGTGCCGCGAGGTCACTGACCTGCTGGACTGCGGCGCAGATCGGCGCACGCAGATCGGCGCTGGGGGACGGAGAGTGGGGACAAACTGGCGTGGGAAGGAGTGAGAAGCTGGAAGAGCTGCTTCCCGCGCTCGAAACTCGCTGGGCAGTGACGTGGCCCACGTCTTTTCTGATAAACATTCCCGGGCTCCAACCACATCCGAAGTCGAAGGTGGTTGGGCTTGGGTTTGGGGGTTCTAACTAGACCTTCTAATTAAGGATGTGCATGGAGCTATAGGGTCTCTACGCGCGCGCGGAAGACATGCGACCCCCAGAAGTCGACGAAGAGACCGGCTCGTGGAGACGAAGCATGACGGCTTTCCGTCGCGGAGACGGCTAGCGCCAGGAGATTGGACCTCTCCATGGACTGCAGGCCATGTGGCTGGTGGAGACCCTTGGATGAAAGAGACACCTAAGACCTACCAGCACCTTCAAAGGGGTCATCAAGGGAAGCCCCAGCCCACTACGATCAGGGACCTCCAGCCAGGACACCCCTTGAAGGTCCAGGTATGGGTGTGTATGGTGTGTGTTTTAATGTAGGGAAACGATGGGACACGTTTTAGCGCTGGCTGGGTAGACTGAATGCCACCCGATGATCAACAGGTCACATGGTGGCTGAAATGGAGGTGACCTGTGAAGTTGGGTGCTGGTGGGTCACAATGACAACTGGAACCACCACTCATCTCCGACCCATTTGGGAAATCGCCGGTGGCAAGGCTGGGTGTGGGAAACGCCAAACGCCCCGCTGGCTGAGTAAGTCGACTGGTCTCTCTGTCCGAACGGAACGGGGTCGGAACGCCTGGAGGTCTCGGAACGTTGGCCTGTCGAGTGAGGCAGTGGGTTTAGATGTGAGTCCCGGTTCGGTCATGGAGAAGGTTTTGTGTTCTTTGACTCTTTGGAGGTGAACATTGGTGGCAGAGTCTATGATTTTTATTGGATGTTATTTGAATATATCATTATAATGATATATCATATCTTATTGTTGGCAAGTTGGAGCATGCCAGTCGATGGTCGAGCGGGGTTACGAGGAACCTTTCCAGCCAGCAATCACCCTTAGTTTGGCAGACCATATCCACCTTGCAAATTCCCTCCCTGAAACTAAAGTTTTACACCAGAAGTGCGTGGATATCACCCTTACTTTGAATCACCCTTAGCCTTAGTTTAAGCTCACGCCCCCCCTAGCGACCCCGGAGAATTTCCACGTTTTTACCATTCGCCAAGTTGATGCTACAGTGGGTATGGGGTGGGTTGGGGATGGGGTGGGGTGGGATTTGTCAACGTTCGCTTGCACTTGCGAAACAAGTTGATGCTACCAAGTTGATACTACGTTGGGGGTGGGGTTTGTTAACGTTAGCTTGCGCTTGCAAACCAAGTTGATGCTACCAAGTTGAGACTACGTTGGGGATGGGGTGGGGTGGGGGTGGGGTGGGGTGGGGTGTGTTAAAGTTCGCTTGCATGTGCAAACCAAGTTGATGCTAGGGGTGGGCATAGGGTGGGGTTTGTTAACGTTCGCTTGCACTTGCGAACCAAGTTGATGCTACCAAGTTGATACTACGTTGGGGATGGGGTGGGGTGGGGATGGGGTCAGATGTTGGGTCAGATGGCACAGAAGGAGTGGCATGCCTGAAAAGCTGACAGAGTGGAAGTGTTAGTGTTAATGAAACAACAGAAAACATAACATATCCTTCCAGGTCCCCGAACGAATTCTCAATTCACCATGAATTGAGAGGCGTGATATGGTGTAAGAACACATACCAAGTGACACTGAGCTAAAACAGGCATCGCCATAGAGTGCCAGAGGGGTTGTGAAAAGCGACTCGAAGCTGCATGTGAAAACGTGCAAATCGCGCGGGGCTGTTGCAGCGGGCGTGACCTTTTATAAAAATTAAAATGTTTAAACCATATCACCCGGATGGCCAGAAACTCTGAATCCACTCCCGGGAATCTCTCTGAAATAGTCATGGGCCAACGTGGACGGCATGGTTTGAAGACCCGGATGACCAGGAACTCCAAATACCAAACAGCTGGTGCCATCCACCTCCAGCACCGGGAGGTTTCATCCACCTCCCTCCGCTCCTTTCTCCTCCATCCGAGTCACCATCTACCTTCCAACCGCCAAGGCAGGCAGACATGAGTATCTTGCAACAGAGCAACTTCCAGGCACAACAGACCAGACCTCACCGGACTCGTAGATCGCCGTCCCGCGGAGCGCGCTCTGGCCGCACGACCGCTGCACCTCGACTTCGGAGCGCCTCGCGCGGAACCGGCTCTGCCGTCGCGCGTGCACCGGCGAGGCCATCATGGGCCTGGGTCCCATCGCCTTGGCCGAGACCTTACAGGATCTCAGGCAGCCTGGCCTTGGGGCCTTGGAGCTTCTCTGGATTGCGGATGCAAATGTGCGTTAATATCCATATTACCAGGACCCAATCACACAGGGGTGTCTATATATCGATAGGCTCTCATTTTTCAGGTGATTCGGGTGTCCAAAACCCACCGAACCTGGAAGGTCCTGATATATATATATATATATGTATATAATATGCGTGTATGCATTTCGTCCGGGAATGGGAAAGAGAAAGTACATGTGCCAAGTGTGCGAGTATTCTTTTCCATTTTTGCTGATATTGTTTTGTTTTCAAGGGTTGTTGTGTTTTTTTGGTGATAGATTGTGCCATTGTGTTGAATGTCGGAGACCATCCATGTATCGAGACTTACATGGATGGGTCATGAATAAATGATAATACATGATTTAACGTTTCCGGCCCCATAGATGGTTTTGGCAATGGTTTGGGTATAAACCCCCAACTAGCTGGGATCGTCGAGATCCTGGCGGTGGGATCCGGCGGTGGGCCTCTTTGAGATCAGTGTCCATGGATGGTCTGGGTGTGTCTGAGATGGTCTGGATGGCCCGAATCTTTGAGTCTGGGATGGTCTGGGTGTGTCCTTAAACTCTGGTGGACACGTTCTGGACTTCCTTGTCCTGGAAAGCGGATCGGGCGATGTTGATGTTTGCTCCGGTTGGTGAATCCTCTGGCATGGTGATTTGTTCCGAACAGGAAATCCAAGAATTCCCAGACACGACACGTCTGGGACTGCCATGTCGGACTGCCGATCAAGCCAGACCCCCCACTCAACCACCCCAAAACCTGTTTCTCGGCAGTCCGACATGGTCCCAGATGTGGAATTCTTGGAGTCCAGCCTTTGTCCGTCCAACCACATGGTGTCCTCAATCCAGCTGCTGGCAGCATGGTGGATTCACGCCACAGCAACCGATTTTTTGGATGGATCCGATCCGGGTTGATCTGGGTGCGAAGCACTGGATCTGGGTTATGCAAGTGGTCGTTGATGGGTTTCACTGTTTATAATGGTGTGTTGAAGCAACCTCTAGCTAGCTGTGGCCATGAAAACCGCTGGTCGCCCTCGCCTGGGCAGGAAGCTGCATGAGATTGCTGAAACTTTGGAGGTGCCTGGGCACAAGTTGGCAGGAGCTGTGTGAGATATCCGCTATTGCTTGAGATCGTAAGAGTGAAAGTGCATTGAACAACATGTCGACTCCTTTCTGCTTAGATCATTGATCTGCTTTAAACATCTTTAAGTTCATACCTCCATGATCCTCCATGCAGGTATTTGATGGTATTTGTCTCTGTCATAGTCTCTTTGGTTCTTTCTTGCAGATGAGATGTCCACGAAATCCAATCCTTCCACTATTCTAGGCTCCTTTGGGTCTTTTCATCGCCGTACTGTACTGACTCCCCTTGACTCTGACTGGTTGGTGGTTCAGAGGAAGCAACGGCTTGAGGGAGTATCCAGTTCGTAGACTCTTGATGAATAATTTTCACCCAACGCCCAACGCCTAGAAAGAGGTTTTTGTTAATCCCCAAGTTTGGAGTGGCCGGTTATTTTATGAATCTTCTATCATGACACAGCTTTAAACAGGGAGCCGTTCCAATTGGACATGTGGGAGCTTCCCGAAAAAGACCACCGGTTCTGACGCTCGTCAAGACGAGTCTGACGCTCGTCAACAGGGACTCCGAACTCCGTCTCTCCATCGACGTCCATCGGGAGACCAACTCCCGGTCCCAAAGTCGCAGGAATCGGTTTGGAAGGAAAGACCCAAATGCAACCCTCTAGTTCGTTCGTTATATATATATATATGTTCGTTATATTATACCAAGAAGTCAGAGTAGCCTTTCGCCTCGTGCCCAGGCCCATCACCTCATGTCTCCCTTCTTGCGGCATCGCCTTAAAGAACAACAGCAGGCCGTCGTTGCGCACGCGCCGCGCCGCGGACCGGGTCCAGCGAGTTCGACGTCGAGATGACCAACGTAGCGGTTCGGCATGGATGACCAAGCGGAGTCCCGGAGGATGTCAAGAACCAACTCGTTTGTTTTTTTTCGTGTTTTTTTGTTCTCGCGACATGAAGAGATGCAGGGTTTGAGCTGAGAAGGTTCCTATAAAGTCTACCTGGAGAATTGGAGAATTCCTTAGAAACTCCGTTTGGTAAGAGTGGGCCTATGGTGAACCAAGTCAGCTGAGGATGAAGGCATTGGTGGTATGTGAGGCTGAAAGTAGATCGAAGCAGAATGATCTTCCTCGGCACGACTAATTCCTGTTCAAACATGTGCTTTTATTTTCCAAGACCATTTGCCATGTTGCAGTAGGATCATGAAACTAGTTCTGGTGTTCGGTGGGTTGGAAAGGTCGACTGAGGTCGACTCCCCACACTTGAAGAATAACATAAATTCCAAACCAGCAAAAATCACCTCTCCTCTCACTCCACTTCCACAAAAACGTCCAGGATTTTCACCTCATCCCACCCACATGCCCCGCTAGAAACCACCTGTGTGGATGACGACACTGGAGAAACAGGGCGTAACCGGACGAACACCTGCTGTATTTCCGCGCGTTCCCGAACTTGGCTCGCGGAACCAGGCGCATTTGGAGCTTGCATCTCTGAACGACAGTGTCTTGGAGTTGAGTTTGGGATGGTCCCACTTCGTCCCCACTTCAGGGGCGAAGCCACTGAAGCGACCGTGATGGATCGGCCACCCTGTCCATGTGTTCTTTTTCCCAGCGACCCGGAGAAGCCAAATCCAAGGTGTGCCGGCCACCCTGCACCTGCGCTTCCTGTCGGTTTGCCTCGAGCGTCCAGCAAACAGTCCAGGACGGTGCGGACGGAATCGAGTGGAGTTCCGACGAAATGGAATCGCCCGCGCGGGAACCGCGGTGCTGGACACGTTGGAGCTTGGAGTGTTTTTTTGTTTATGTTTGAGGTGAAGATGGGTAGTGTGAAAGTATGATCCCATCTGGATTCTCCCAGAGAATAATGAACCATGATCAACCTCACGGTGAAAGAAGTTTCACATGCCTGAATCTATAGTAATCTATAGTGTTTTAACATTTGTTTTGGAGTGTTTTCTGATGAATTCATGTCCATCATATCCTTGATGCCTTTCTGGTGTGGCTAAACTCATGGATATAGCCTGAGTTGCTTGATCTCCCGAAGAATCACAACAGACTGATCCCCAGCTCGTTGCCAGGACACCTCATTTGGCATGACCTGGATCCCACCCTCCGCAGCGAACCCTTTCGAGCCCTTGTCGGCAGCGGTTCTCCGCGTGCGCCGTCCATGGGGCCCATGGATGGTCGATGACTGCGTGGGAGACCCCGAGTGTCGACCGCGTGGTAGACACCGTGGGTTTCTTCGTTCTTTTCATCTTGATGGATTTGGATGTGTTTCGTTTTTTTCTGTGAAGATGCTGAAACGGGGGAATGTGTGATACAGGTTCTTATATGCTTCCGTAGGCAAATGCAAGAAGATGGGGGGTCCATAGTGGTCCCTCTTATACTTTTTTGTTGGGTCTGTCCTGTTACCTGTAACAGTCAGTAAATAATTACGACTATTTTTGCACAAGGCCTTTACTAACCATCATCCACTGTTACAGGTATTAGGATAGACCGATAGACCCAACTTATTTGCACTTTGCTGGTAGATGAGACTAAGAAGAGCAACTCGCAAGGCTACCACAGCCTTGGACTTAGCTACTGGGACTCCTGGCTACGAACTAGAATGCCAGTCTTGTCCACCTGAGCAACGGCCAAAACTCCCGGAGCGCTAGGCTTCGTGAGGATAGTGAGGAATTAATGTTGGATTACAACCATCCTGTATGACCCAGACCATCCATGGATTTCTAAAACCTACATTGACCCTGAAAACATCTCGAAATCATCCGAATGTAGACAAATCTTCCATCTTTGGATTGTAGACAAATCACCTGAACCCAGCTCCATGGCATCTCACCTACCCAAAGGCTGTCCTGAAATTTGGTCTGAGTGTGGGAGGGTTGGATCTGTTTTCGGGAGAGGCTAGTCGTGATCCCACACCCACACTGCGAGAGGCTAGTCGTAATGAGGCTAGTCGTAATGCGGAAAAGGACCTGGAAAAGACCTGGGTACATATTTGAGATAGTCGAACGTTTGGGTTCTGAAAAACCTCTAGCCCCCGCCATCCCATTCGATTCGATTTGTGCTGGTGCGAGAGAAGACGGATCGATCCGATGTAACGAGACGGAGGCGCGAGGCCGTAACAGGGCGCGAGTCCCGAACACTTCTGGGAACACATCCCTGCCGATAAAACATAGATGGCCGAATTCGCAGACACTTCTGATCTGATCTCATGTATGCTCAGAGTGATCCCAGAACATGAACATCCAATGACTATCGGTAGGAAAATGATCCACGGCACTATGAGTCATGACTGTATCTAAATGTGATGTGATGTCTTAAGATGATGTAAGGTAAGGTAAGGTAATGCATGTAATGTATCTAATGCATGTATGTATAATGTAACCCTGTGAGCCAAAGTACTCGTTAAACTTGTTCGTTTTCATTTCATTCATGTGAAAGTACTTTACTTTAAAAGATCGTACTTTACTATAAGCACCTCTAATCAGGCTGGACCCTCAAATCCTAACAACAACCAGGCCTGTTGAATCCGCTCCACTCTGCCCATCCCCTGAAATGGACCTGATCCCCTCTTGCATTCTGTTGGTGTTTGCCTGATCAATGCAGGAAACACATATCAGATTATCAGACGAACAGGACAGCTCCTTCAATGTTTGCCAACAATGTGGGCACTTGATTTCAACAGCTGGAAGGAATCACACCTGTGAATCCCACGGCCGACTCGTCGACCATTGTTTGACCCCTTTTTCGTTTCTTCACGGTCTTCTTGGTCGTCGTCTGCAGTGTGCCTATTGACTGCGCGGTGCACTTTATAAGGTTGAAGGTTGCAAAAAAGTTTGCGGAGGACCAAGTTGTTTGCTTGATCATGAACGAACATGAGAAGTGCAGTTGGAGTGTCATCATGTTCATGAACTTGGACCGGATTGACGTGCCGGCTGACTGGGAGCGATGATCGGAGCAACGGAACAAAAATGCTCGGAGAGCGGGTGTGCAGAGTTAGGCAGTATAAGTAGTCCATATGGAGATGTACTAAGTTAAACTAGTCTCCCGGGTCCGCAGGGTAAGTTTGTCATCGTATGAGTTATCGTTCGGTATGGTATGATATGGTATGGTACGGTACGGATATGGCATGAAGGAATGGTAAATATGTTGTATTGCATGTAATGTAGAATATGTATGCATGTGTATTATGTAATGCGATGTTATGTTTGTTATATTGTGTCATGTCACATTAGTGTAATGTAATGAAATGTAAAGTAATAGAATGTTATGTATCTATGTAATCTCCTGACTGTGGAGCTTCTGGAGCGTTCATTTGGCTTCCTTCGTTCCTGTCCTGAAATCATCCGAGGACGCCTCACGGTGGTGGGCAGCATCTCCTGGGCTTTGCAGCTCAAAGACCTACGGCTCCGAGCTCCCAATGGGACCAGTGTGCCGCTCGCGTGCTCGGAGACTGGGTTTTGCCTGTGGGATGGCATTGGGAGTGGAGGGAGTGCATGGAAGGGAGATGGAAATGGACCTGGTTTGGGGATGTTTGAGATTGGTTTTGTCGATTTGTTTTTGTTCAGGTTCGTGTGTTTTGATTTTGATGATTGGAGTTCGTTTTCTTGTGTCTCCCTTTGAACTTTTCGCAAAGTGGCATGCGCTCTTGAGAGGATCTGCGTCTTGGTTGTTCATTGAAACGAATGTGGCATTAGAAAACACTATACATGCGCTCTTGTATATGTTTGTTTTGTGGTCTTTCTTCATGAGATTCTGTCTATATATATATATATATATTTGTAACACATTTGCATGGTCATGTCTATGTATATATATAGTCTGAATATAATATATTCTACATTTTTCAATTATTTTACATATCAGTTTAGTTTTTTACATATCAATTGCTGGGGTCATCCTTTCATTTCCCCTCATTTTTCATTGGTGTGATTGGTGTCTCTCCGCAGGAGGGCTGTGGTGCTTTGCTGGACACAGGCACCTCCTTGCGTCTCAGCAATCGGAGATGGGACCTGGCGGCTTGTGTCAAACAGGTCACGGGTCTCGTTCATCATCTTCATAGGGCGTACGTTCTACTCTTTAGAAACCAACTAAAAGGGAACTGGATCGATCAACACCTGTCTCGACAAATAAGACAACAAATCATACAGGTGTGACTTTCGCTTGTGGCCAGCGGGCATTTCGACCTCAGACAGCTTGCAGACCTTTGAAGGAAGGGATCGTTCGGTGGAAGAAAACAAGGCGACTCCGACTTGCCCTTGGTGCTGGGACGATCGACGTCCGGATTCGCGAGCGGGAACGAACGATGAGCCACGAGCTGGGCGTCCACGGGATTTTGGGGTCCGAGCCCCTACCCATGAGGTCAGAGCCTTGAAGTAACATATCTTCCAAGTGAAAAGGACAGCCCTAACTTGAAGTATCAACCAAGGATGAGCGAACACATGGGGATGTTTCAACACATGGTTCAAAACCCCTGGTTCCTCAAAGTGACCTTTTGAGATTTCCAGAACTTGAGGCAAGCTTCTATGGCTGTGGGTCGTGGGTCATGGCGCTCGGGACCTTTAAACCTCGGTAGTCGTCTCTTCTGTTCATTTGGACCACTTGGTCCACGGTCCCTCAAGGGGTGACGACCTGATCTTCAGGTCCGCCATGTCATCAACCATGTTTTCGCTGTGAAGTGTCCCCAAGCTGGACCCTTTATTCAGTGGTCTTCGACATGGTGGCTGAAATGCAGACGTATCTAGGGTGTCGCAGGTGGTGACCTGTGATGTCGGGTGCTGGAAGAGATTGTCCTTTGCTCCTAGTAGCGATGCCAGGGCCCCTAGTAGCGTCGTTGCTCCCTGTCCAGAGTCAGTGGAGTGGTGGGGCGGTGGTGTGGTCACATCATCACATTTCCCGCTCGGCGCTCGGTAGGATGAATCTTGATGCTATAGGGCGTGTCCCGGCCAGTAAAACAGTCTAGCCGTCGGTCAAAGATGATACCTACTCGTATAGTGCCATATGCCATTCCCATACACTCCATGGGACCGCCATAGCCGAGCCATTGAACCCTGGCCGTTTCTCTTCTTGGCAGTCCGACATGGCAGTCCCATGTCCCGTGTCGCGTTTGGGGATATGAAAGAAGAAAAGGATCCACCGACGCCACACTTCCTTCGCCCATGGAACCTCCGCACACCCCGCGCCGCTTCGAACCACAACACCGAGGATCAGCGCCCCGACCGCCCCGCGGGCGAAGCTGGCGCAGCTGCTGGAGGCCATGGGGGCGAACTGCCTTGACCAGGAGAGGGAACTGTGCTGGATCCAGGTAACTCGTGGGAGTTGTACAGGCCTGGTGTTCGACGATCCCATGAAACCTGTCGACGATCCCATGAAACCTGAAAAACCCCCTGGTTGGTAGAGGAACATCGTCTTCCATGGGACCAGGACGGACGTCAGGGTCTATGTGTGTGGGTCTCTTCGGGAGTGTATCCGGTTGGGTTGGGTCGGTCCGAACGTACCCTCCTCTGCAACGGAAGTGGACCGGGCCCCCGTTTTGGGTAGAGGAACATCGTCTTCAAAGGGACCACTGTCCACCAACAGGGAGTGGACTTCCAGGGAGTGTACCTGTAACAGTCAGGTGACACACTATATCACTATTGTTTGAACTCTCGGGGCATGTCGGCCTGAGAAGATTCGGTCGGTGGGGTCTGTCCGAACTTGTGACGAGCCGTCAGGTTTCATACTACTCCTGAACTGTCGGCCTGCAACTGAAGCATCATCATCCACTGGGCTCTGGTAATAGGATAGATAGACCCAAACTATGGGGGGTTGTATTTTAAGAGGGGCCCCGCCCCAATACAAACCCATGGGTTGCGAGGTGGTTTACTTTCGGCGATCGTTTTGACCTTTGCTATGAGTGAACCAACTGACTCATGCTTCTCGTGAGTTGAAACCAGCAACCAGGTTGGTTGATTAGAGGGGATAACCTTGAACAACCACTATAAGTATATATGGTACTTGGCATGGACCCCTCTCCTATTCCACATCATTGATCCGTCGATAAGTCGATGAATCAATGAAAGCGGATAAAAAGTCTGAAAGCGGGGCAGAGAAAAGCACGGTGCATCCAAATGGAGATGGCGCGGTGTTTAGACGACTGCTATTTAGAGCTGCAGCAGGGTTCCTGGGTTATCAATGGGTATCATGGATTCATGGCTTCATGGCAGGTACTCATGAAAGATTTCCTGGGAAGATGATGGAGCATATGCAGTGTTCTCTTTTGTATCGGGGCAACATCTCCTCACCTGTTGTTCAGTCACGCCAATCCAGGTTTTTCGTTGCCCCTCAGTCTTCCAGGTCGTTTGTTTTCTCCAAGGTCTTCCAACACTCGACAACTGTAACTTGCCATGAAGACGTTTTCTTGAAAAAACAAGTTTACCAAGTTGGTGAACACGTTTCTTTGTAACAATTGTAACTCTTCGGAGGTGACGTGTGCTTTATACCTTCCTTCCCCAGCTTCAAACTCCAGAGATGCTGTGCTTTCCGACATCGAAGAGATGCTGACATCGCTAAGAATCCGTACGAAGACCTTCTCCATGTGGCCGTGGGTCATCGCATGTCATGGCGCTGACCTCGGTCGACCTCGGTAGGTTGACCTCCGAAACGTCGTCTATTCTGTTCATTTGGACCACTTGTCAACCGGTTGGACTCCCAGTGCCATGGGCCATGAACCGCGCCACATGCCCTGGCGAAATCGCCTTCGCAAGGTGAGGTTTCTGTGCCCCCTGCAGTAAACCGGTATGGAGTTCACATGGAGTTCGCACATGCAGTAAACCGGTATGGAGTTCTAGGAGTTTGGAGTTCGCATGGAGTTTGAAGGAAACGCTGGTGTTACACCCTGGAAGACGATTCCATGAACCCTGAAAACCACTGGCTAGTAGAGGAAGGGCCAGGACGTGAGGGGGCCATTGGAGTGCCAAACTGAGTAAAAGTACCCCATACGCTCCATGGCACTGGAATACACCCCACCTGATCGGCAGACATGCGGCAGTCCCATTGGTCGTGTGGGGCCCGGAATAGTCCGATTTTAAAGGTCGGCAGACACATGATCCGCACAACATTGCTGGCGGTTTGCAGGGTTTCTGACTTCACACCTTTTTCAGGCAACTCCAGCTGTGTTTGTTCAGAAGGTTAGATGAATGTAACGCAGATCAAACGACATACTTCCATGTTCGCTTGTAGCGTTTGCTTCTTCATGCCAGCTGCGACACGAAGACTGTCCAGGAGACATGGCCCATCTTGGAGTTCCAACTGGGCGGTGAGCACTTGTCCTTGTCTGCGCAGGCGACAGAAGCGTGAGCGGGCGTGACTGGGGTCTGCACGGGCGACAGTGGGCGATACTGGATTTTTGAGGTCTCCTTGAGTCAGGTACCTAGCGCTTCCTGTCTGGGTGTCCTGTCTGGAGACCTATGGAGCGTAGTGGGCTGGGTGGTCCAGCCAGGTGACCCGGACTGGAAGCAGCAGCGCATGTACGTGTTTGTGTGTGTGTTCTTGCGGAACTGCATCCCGCCTGCAAAAACATGGAACGATGCCCTCCATGAATGGTCTTTTCTGCCCTCAGTTTGGACAGCTTTGTTTGGAGCAAAATTGGCATGTATCCAGGTCTGCTTTGGGGGTCCGATGCTTTTTTAACCAGCTTTCGTTTTGGGGGCTTTAAAGAGAAGATTTCTTTCCTCCCCTGAGCCCCCAGCCTCGGTAGTCTCTAATCCCCAGGGCTCCTAGGTTCAATGGTTAAACTTCCCTGGCACCCGGGCCCCCAGTCCCATCAAGACACCGCTAATTAAATCCTTCCTTCGCTCTCCTTTCGGAAAGAAACGGCTGCGGCTACACGCTCTGTCGCTGAGTCTCTCTCTCTCTCTCTCATAACGAACGAGCGTTTGCTACAAAGGCCTTGCTGGGCATGGTGAAGGGCTTGATGCCACTGCCTTGGCGCTCCTCCTATCAACAGCATCCCTTCGTGGTGGTGGAAGCCTGTGAGCTCCTGGTGATGGAGACTTTGCTGGTGAAGAGTGGAGATGATGGAGACTTTTGGAGGATGACCGGGGTAAGAAAGTGACCCAAAGAAGTATATAATCCAAGACAAGCAGAATCTATCTATTTTGATATCATTCTAGTATGCGTGTAAGTGTCGACTGAAGGACAGATAAGGCCATAAGTTTCACTAAAGGTCTAAAGGTTAGATAATGTTAGATGAGGACAGATGGTTTGCCTGGTTTGCGATTCTGCCAGTGGTTTTGGTCCTTGGTTTTGCATTCCCATCAAGAGAAAACCCAAGTCGCATAGCCACAAGTTGCAGTTTTTTGGTATACAAATCAGGCCCATTGAGATGAGGCGAGGCCGGACACCGAAGCATTCGCCCAAGAGGTCGTCCGTGCGTGCTTGGCGAGCGCCTGAGACCTTTGTCCACCACGGATAAGTGGTTTTGGCTCGATGGCACAGACCTCAAGATGTCCTGAACACATGGGGGTTCAGTCCTAAACCACCGACCTTGGGGTCTGTGAATCCACCACTTAGTCCTCTCAATCCACCACGGATGTTGGAATGGACGGATGGTTTATCTTGAGACGATGTCAAGGTTGATCCCTGGAGCATTTACTTACACTGACCCAGTCCGGAGGCTTTGGGGTCTGGACCTCTCAGAATGAAGCAAGAAAGACACACTTGAGTTTGTGAGCAGCTGGCTTGGGCGTGGATTCACCATGTTTCACACTGAAGCTTCATGACGATACAAAGCTGAGAGCATGGAGAGCAATGGTGAGCATGCTGCCGACATGTGCTGACAGATCATGCGGTTTGAGCTTTTGGATGGCATGACCAAGAATTACAAGTGCCTTCCAAAGGTTTACCCTGACTTTTTTTTTGCTGAGTTGCAGCAGAATCAACTCCGGAATCAATGATCAAGGGTCCCCTTTCGAAATTGATGGATCAACAGTTCAACAACATGGATCAACCAAGAAGCCCCGGATCCACCCCTTTCACACACCCCACCGAAAGCGGACCTCGCCTCCCCTCGGACCGTGGACCTCGTCTCCCAAGAAACGGGAATCCAGCTTGATTCCCTGGAAACCGTCCGGGGTCAGATCATGTCAGATCTCTTCCCAGACACGACGCATGGGACTGGCATAGGACTGCCGATCAGGCCAGGGGTGGTTGACTGGGGGTCAATTGATCGGCAGTCCTATGGCAGTCCCATGGAGTGTTTGGGCTTGGTGTTTGAAATCCCAAGGACACCGGTGACATCAACACCGAGTGGGGGCCCCTGTGGATCCTCGGCATGCCCTTCTTCCGACAGTGCCCTGAAACACCAGCAGGGGAGGTTGGAAGAGGCTTCGGCGGCGGGTTGGAGGGTGTGAGATGCCAGGAGGGAGGGTGTGAGGTGCAAAAAAGACACGGGACAATGGTTCCACATGATGGAACATGTCACATGTGATTTTGGACACTGGACCATGCATTTTGGAACATGTGTCACCCTGCAAAAAAACCAGCTTGATGGAACATGCCCTGGGACAACCCATGTGATCAATCAGGGCATTCCGGGACAGTCCCGATCCCCGCCGTGAGCGCCGCGCGGAGCGGACCACCGGTCGTCACCGGTGGGACACGGAGGCAGACACGTCAACGTCTCGGTGGTCACCTCCTTAGTCTCGTTTCAACCTGACGATGTTTGATGTAGGGATCGAGAGGACACGGTGAGGACAGGTTTAGGGTTTAGGGTGTGCACAGGTTTGGCAGGAAGAAACTTGAGGCGTCAGGACCAGCAAAGCCCAAAAGGTCCAGTTTGACCCTGAAAACCTCATGGTTCATAGTGTGTGTTCGTTGTTCCCTGAACAACCAAATCAGGTCCAACGAACTGTGCAACTGGTGAGGGAGTGATCTTCCCACCCTCCCCAAGCGGTGATCTCCCCAAGCCCTCCCAGAGATAGGGCGCTGATCTTAGAGTAAGATCTGCTATATACTCAAAATCCCTGGTTGTTTGTTTGTTTGTTTGTTAGGTCTTGTTTTCTCACTTCATTCCCCACAAAACGTCAGAGCCTGGTACAAGTCATGTACTTAGGCTCACTTAGGTATTCTTTTTTGGACTTATCATTCCATCCGGGTTTCAGTCACCCGCCCTGAATGCACCTTGTGTGTCCTGATGTGCTTGCGTGTCCTTCACTCCCGAAAGATGAATGATGTTCCAACATGTTCCAACCACTGAGTTTATCTAATTAATTTGATTCTCAATGTAGATATTTGTCAAGGATCTGAAAGCATGAGATGATCAGATATGATCAGATATTTGTCGAATACATGGCAGGCGGAGTTTCAGCGGGGTGGTTTGCTTTCAGACGTACGCCGTACGCTCGTGCGCCCCAGGTACTACACCACCTTCGACTATGGGGCTCCCAAATCTCACGCCGCCGGCCGTACGCCGCCGGCGGTCTGGGTGGCGGAAAGCACTGAGCAGTGTACGCCTCGTGCTGCGAGCACCCATGTGCAACTGGTGCAGCACGGTCCAGTGCAGGCAGAAGAGGGTGATGAAAGAGGGTGAGATGAGTGAGATGCGTTGAGAAAAACCCTGAGGGTTCCTTGCCCCAAAGTGTTTTTTTTGGAGTGGGAGAACAGTATTTTGTGTGTGTATTCTTTTCGAGGAAGCAGCTGTTGGAAAGGCTTTGGAGGGTGATTGAAGGGTTCCATGTGATGTTCGTTTGGTCGCCGCCCATTCGTGCCTGGTTCCTGGGCTGATGCCCGTTGGATTCCTGATCAGTCAGGGCAAAGGGTCGCAGATGGTCGCAGGGTAATCAGTTTTCCATGCCACATTGGTCCTAGCCAGTAAAAATGGGTCACCGGTCACCTACCTGCTTTCACCTTCTTTGGGGGATTGGGGGCACCGGCGGATTTCAATTCTCAAGTTCGGTGGAAACGTCGGAGAAATGTGACGTGTTCGATCCAGCGAGCTTTACTGGGAACCGACTGAAGGGGGGAAGAAGCGGTGGAAGCTGTCACTTGGACATATTCAAATAGACGAGGATAGGCTCAAGACTCCCGGACTTGGCTGTAGCTCCATGGTTGTGTGCGACTAGTTCAACAAAGAAATCTACCCAGCTGAAGATAAAGATGAACCCTGGAAACCACAGGTTTGTAGAGGAAGCTTGTCTTTCAGGCTGCCATTCTCAGGGTCCATGTTAGTTTTCGGGAGGGCATACCCTCCCAACATGTCAGCTGACCCATCTCACCTAGACGCCTAATGAAGCCTATAGTCATTTATAGTCTACAGCATTCTACAGCGATAGTATTTGTTTGTTTCATCCTGCAAAAGCGCGCAGGTGGACTTGGCAAAGCTGAGGCTTCCTGAATGGATGGCCAACAGAGCCAATCGCAGTCACATCAATCTTTGATGATGTCCGAGCCAAGTGTCGATGCGCTTGGATCAAGGTCTAGTCACCTTTTAGCTGGGCTCGCTTGATGAAAAACTAGCCAAGGCACAAATAAATCAAGCCAATCAGAATGTCCCATGATTATCCTATGATATCCTATGATTCAGTTTTTGGGTAAGCATGTTACAGTTTTTGCTGCTCCAGATCTGCATACAGTGGACATGTTTTCAGACGTGTGATCATCCCTTCAGACGTGTTGTGATACCACCCCATCACGCAACAGGACTGGGTTGTGATACCACCCCCTGGGAGTGGGCCGGCGGCTTCGGGGGTTGCAAGATCCGCGGAGAACGAGAGGACCCCCAGAGGACCGAGGTGTTTCGACGGAAGGGGGCACTAACCATGGCCCGTCATCGCCATAGGGGCGGCAGGAATGTAGTCTTACGGACCATGTTACAAGCTTTCTTTGGTGTCTCTAGGACGTAGTACAGGGAAGAGACGTCTTCAGTACGACTAGTTCCATATTATTTCCCAAAACAAAAAAAGACTTGATCGTTTTCATGTGCCACATCGATCTCTTCATTCAAATCGGCGAATATGGGGTCTGGGTCCCTCTCGCGGGCCTTGTCTCACCCTCGTCATGCGAAGTCCAAAAAGTGGTCACCAAAAAAACAGCTTTACCAACAGAGGTTGAAGAACTCTATAGACATCTATAGACCATCCCATAGGTACCTCAGTTCGGTTATTTACGGTCACTTAACCTCTCTTGGTAAGGCTTTAAGGACGGTACGCTGCGGGCGGTTCCGGTCCAAGCCAGAGCGGGGCGACCTGGACGGATCAGACCCCAAATCCGGTTTTGAGGGACCTAGCACTGTGAACGGAGCGTTTGGGAAGCAGCAACCGGATGCAATCGGCAATCGGCGACCCCCTTTGTTGACCGCCCTTTCCGCTGATGTGAAGTGATCCATCACAGTCGTCACAGCCCCCTTTGTAGGACAGATGGTTGATTTTGCAGACATTCCAAAAGATGTTTTTCGTGACATAGCGCAACCAACAACTTCCAGCTCTACCATCCTTGAATTCTTGATATGTCAAAAACCAATCGTGCAAGCGTGTGGACACGCCGTTCAGTGTTAGATTCCCCTCAATGGCCGTTTGGTCCGAAGATGCCGTTGATTCTCGGAAAGCATCGGTTCCCTAGCCTGGTTGGTTCGGTTCTCATCGGGTAAACAATGGGTAAACGGTTGTGGAGCTGGTTTGATCAGGGTAATCCAATGTTACAGTGGTTTCAGAGTAGATGGCACCAACCCATCTCGATTATTTTTAGATGGTTGTCCATTGGGTGTCCATATAAACCTTTTTGGGGATTGTGCCATTTGCTCTCAATCCACTATATTCAGGGTGATCAGGGTGATCATGTTCTCAGTGAAGAGATCAACAGCGTGAAACCACCTCTTTCTCTCGATGCAATTCTTTGCAGGTGAGGAAGAGCCAGAGCGCAGGGTGCAACGCTTGTAACTTGGCTTGGCGGTTGGAGATGGTTGGAGGACACTCACGGTTCCACTTTTTGTTGATTGATGGCTTATTTATGCTGGAATGGCGTCTTTGCTTGACTTAATTTCAACCGAGAAAGCCAAGGGTTGCCTCCAAACCTGTCGATGTAGATGACAATTGTTTGCAGGCACCTGCAATGTGTAAACATATATGTACATTTTAAACATGTTATATATAAACATGCATATACACTTAAATCTGCCCTAAGGATCCAAGTACCCTCTGAGGTTCGGTGGGACTGGGGGCCCGGGTGCGTTGGTTCGGGTCCAGTCGTACCGAACCTGAAGAGGTACGACTGGATCCCCAATGGGGCGGTGTAGCTCTGCCCTTGGCTGTCTGACGTTGTTTGAGGCTGAACTCGCTCCTGGCGGGCGACGAGCACCTGGGAAAGCAGGAAGGCATCGAAGTGAAAGCTGCGGGGCCAGCCAGTTCCATTCCCCAGACACGACACATGGGACTGCCATAGGACTGCCGATCAATTGAACCCCAGTCAACCACCCCTGGCCTGATCGGCATCTATGGCAGTCTCATGGAGTGTCTGGGTATAGTTTGTAGACTCTCCTCATTCATAAACCCGTAAACCCAAAAGCTCTTTCAGAGGCTTTGGAAGAGGTGAGGCGACAAAACTTCCACGGGCCTTTGTTCCCAGAGGACGAGCATCCTCCATCGTAGGACGAGCATCATTCGTGCCTCCATCCCCTAACCGGTTGGAGATCAGTAGGTCTGTGAAGCAGCAATGACCTACCTACCGGTGGTGACTTCAGTGGATCACCTGCTAGCGATTTGTTGGAAAAAGGGGTTCCCCGCTCAAAATCCAACATCTGGAAGAACATGGACCTTTCTGGAAGAAAAACTGAGGGCGAAGACAGACTGGACCTTTCTGGATGACACATGCACCTTTTCTTCCGATGTTTTCTGGAAGAACATGGACCCGTCTTTTTTCAGCAAAACTGAGGGAGAAGAAAAACTGAGTCCAAAGCAACATCGTGATTTTTGCTGTTCAGACCAGAGTGTTCAGCACTGGTTGGTCTTGACCTGCATCATGATAGCAAGAGGAAGATCCGACTACCCAGTCAGGCATTTTCGAGTTTCAGACTAGTGTTTGATTTTTGGTTGTGCTCCCCGGTGTTCACAGTGAAGTTTAAAGGCAAGCATGGCAGCCAAGCTTGCTTGGCGACCCACTCTATTGTATGTACTGCACTGCGTTTGATGCTTCTCTGTCAGCCTTTTGAACTACAAAACTCAAATATTTCTTGGGTCATGGCAGGTGTTGCTGGATGATGAGGCACTTGGACACTCTTCTCGACTACAGCATGGAAACTTGTCAATACCAACTTCCTTTGTACATGTTGTGCAATGTTCTTGAATAAATACAACTAGCATCTCATAACATCACATATCATTTGTGGCACCAGCTTAGCCCAACAAAAACACGACAACATGTGGCAACACAAGATGTGCTGTGCAACGCACCATGCACAATGGAAGACCCACGATGGGACAGGAAATGGTGCGTTGAGACACCTCTCTTTGCAGAACCCAACCCCTGGTGCCTTGCGGTTTTCAGGTGCCTTGCTGGTGGAATCCACTGGCATAGGGAATAGATGGGAAATGATGGGAATATGTTGTATCTTTCCTGGCTTCCGAAACCAGCAAATCCAAGAACCTGAGGCAGCCTGAGGCGGATATCGAAGAGTCCGGGTGCCCAGCAATCCTCACGTTACCCGGACCCTCACCGGTCAGAGGACAACAACGAGTTGACGGTGACCGGGTAATAGAATCGAAGAGGACTTGATATTTTAATTTTAGTACCCAGACCAGACCCTTTAAACGGCCATTGGTCCCTCAAAACCTAGGGAGGTCTTGATATTTGGGTAATTAACAACAAGTGAGTTGCCTCACGTGAGTTGCATGCTGGTGGGTTGACTCATGTTGACGGGGCGTCAAACACATATCCTTCATTGAGTCCTCCATGCCCCGTCAGCCTTCAGCAAAGGATTTTCTTATCACAAACTGAGTCAGTTAGAATGCCAAATTACAAAGACTTGGAGGTCATTGTAGAACGAACTCGAAGCTTCTAAACTGCAAAGCCTGTTGTGAGGTTCTAGCTCCCCAATACACCTCCACAAAAGTGTCCATGCCTATAAAGAGATGTGGCACAAACCTCACCTGAATTCTTCCCTAACACCTAAACCCCCCGCTGCTCGACCTTGACGGTCTGACCAATCATGACCAATCTGACTACCCACGAAGTGATCATGAGCGGTTTGGGTACTTATGTATTACTTATTACTCCAAAAGGTTCCCGTCCTCTTCAGGGCAACTGGGATCCGGTGGATTCCGGTGGATTCCGGTAACCTCCAGGATTGTTTCCAGGTCTGAAAACCCCTGCGAAGGGGAAGGGTGGCCCGTCCGGATTTCTTAGGACTGTCAAGTGTTCAGAAAAGGAGTTGGAACGATCTTTTTCATGCTTTTTTTCAAGGTGGAGATTGATGAGTTTTTCCTTGAGCCATCCAAGATCGCCCTCCCTTCGCGGGCCTGGCTGGCTCGGAGCGCGACGTCAGGGATCTGGGCTTGGCGCCTTGGCACGTGGAGTTCACCGCCAAGCAGCTCAGGCGAGGACCCAGCTGCGCGCGACCCACGATGAGCGGCGAGACCGTGCCCACCGGTGACGAAGGTGCGTACGCCGGCTGGTGTGACACGGTCGTTCATTTAGAGGCCAAGGGGTTGGACAAAAGCATCAGCTGATGGGTTGTTGAACCCCCAAGAGTCTGGGGTTAAAGATGGTAAAACTTCAGAACGACAAAACCATATACAGAACAATACAAAAGGGGTCAGGAAGATTGAATGTGTGACATTTGTGTTGTGCCAGTGGCTTCACCGAACTCGATGTTCCTGGTGATTCCAGGTGCCTTTGTTTTCTCGAACAACACATGGATCGTGATACTCGCTGCTGTATGAACTGTCCTTCATTCGCATGAAAAACACACGTCACCCTGCCTAGACCTCTCCGCGTGTGGGCAAAAAAGAAGTTCAAACATGCATGTTCAAGTATATAGCCGTGTCTAAACGATAAACCTCAACGAGAGTAGCCGTGTCTCAGAAACCTTTCGGTAAAACACCGCGTCATTCGACGTCATTCGATCTTTGGAGATTCACATACTTGTCAGGTCGGCACAACACACCTCAACATGGGGAACACGACCTCTACTGGGAACTGGGAGGTGGATTGGTTCGTATGTACCCAGACGCGACCCTGGAGGGGTACCCTGATCTGGAGGGGTCTGCGGTTACCCATCCCGAGGTTTGGTTCGGGACCGGTCGGACGGGTAGGACGTCGTCTCCGGATGAGTCTCCCATAGCCTATATAGCCGATAGCCTTCAAAGACTGTTTAAACATACCAGCACCTTCCAAGGGGTGTCCGATGGAAGCCTTCACAAAACTTATGGATCTCCAGCCAGAACACCCAGACAGGATGGACCAGGTATATTTAAAGCATGCTTTGACCTGTGTTTGTAATGTAACATCATTAGTTCAGCAGCCTCGGTATAGC